AGGGTTCAGCGTGTTCTTCACCACTTCAGTCTTGTGGCAGATGGTGAACCTGGAGAGGCAGTCAACAGACTATTAAACTTAAAAGACTTCTTCTCGCAACACTTTGCTTGTCTGTCTGAACTTATCTTTATGGCTGCAGATTTCAAGGGATCTCAATCTAATTCTCTTTACCTTGGTTCCCTTCCTCTTTGATGTCCACCCCCCTGCCTGTCTTTGATAAGCTAAAATGAAAAACCCACTGAGAAGCAGAAGAAAAAGAAAACAAACTCACGTGCCATCCTCGTTGCTTCTGTAGAAGACCATGAAGGGGTCTGACTTTCCAAAGAAGTCCTTTTTATCCAGTTTGTTGGCACAGAATTGCATGGTGGCGTAATCCTACAGACAGAGAAAAAAAACGGAGAATCAGAGAAATGAAAAGACAAAAAAGTAAAGTAAAAGTAAAATCCATGCTTCTGCCTCTGTTTGCCTCCTGTTGTTTGTTTATACATGCTGTGCCAAGATATAAAAGCACTGAAGCACCAAATAAAAGCAAAGTGCTGACTGAATTCTAATAAGGGCACTGCGAAAACCAGCCAGTGGGCTCTAGTTTCCAAAACCTGCAAATGCATTCATTACCATTTCTTTATTATGCAACTCCTGCATAACAACAGTGGATGGGATAAGGGATATCAAATTGAAAATACCTGTTGTGCTGAATATAATCATACTAACAGTATGAGACCATGCAGAGGCACAGAAATGGATTCTAAAACCCTGCACATGGAGGAGGGGGGGTTGTGTACCAAAAGGATGTAGAGGGTATGAGTGCAGCAATGATACATTAGAAAGGCTGGTATTACCATAATTATACTCATTTAGGCAGCATTTCAATGTGCGCTGCCATTATAAGGACAATAAGCATTCTCCATAATGCTCTTGGTTCCAGATCGTCTCCCTGTGGTCAAGGTATTAGTGTGCATTGTGTAATAATGAGGGTGCACAGGGGGCACAGACTGGACAGGTTAATGTCCACATCAGAAGAAACTCTGCAAAGTGTTCCCCATCCCTGACAGCCTTTATCTCAATGCTGCATCTGAGTATTTTTTGAAACCTTTCGGACCTCCAACATTCCACATATGCAAGTCAAGTGTCTCATCATCATATCTAAATGCGTGAGATGTGACACCAGAAGAGATTCAGAGCCTTCACCTTGCAAAAGAAGAAGTGCCCTCCTGGGCTCTTAGGTTTTGAAGTGCAGCTATTAGATCTGAATCAGCACAGTGCTGGGCAGGGCCTCTATCGATTACTTTGACCCACATCAGTGTGGTGCGCTCTGCCTCTGAGCAGCCTCTCACTAACCCCCATTATACCACTTCATGCCTTGGCCACAGCCACAACACAGACTAGCCTCTTTCTCTGAGGCAACCGCTGAGAGAAAGATAGATGCCGCTGCGTAGATATGTAGTAAAATAACTCTCAAGAGTATTTTCCTGAAAATTCAGCTAACTTGATTATTGCAGTTGTTTCCCATCATAGTTTATGGTTCCAATCAACACTGTGAGCCGGGTTGTTGTGTATCTACTCTACTGTCATTCCCTACTATCATTTTCAGTTATTATTAGTATTTTCTAACAATCCTACAATGTAGGTAGAGCGCACATTAATGGAAGATTGTTTTTTTCCAATTTGTGTAGTTGGATACGGATCAGCCAAGTAACAGAGCCATCCACTGCGCAGTTTGTACCTGAGATGCGTCAAGCTCTCCCTTGATGGCTTTTCATGAGAACATCTAATTTACCAAGTTCCCACTGTGGCTCATTTTGTAGATTTAAAAAACCAACACATCATGTTAGAGGAGTTTGCTGAGGTCAGTTATCCAAGCACTTAAAAATACAGGCATCCTATAACTGTCCTACTTAGCCCTGACACGCCTCTACAATTACACCATCATGGCAACACAGTGACTTGAGCCTTCATTAGGTAACAGATAAACATACCCACTTTGGTGCCTAAGCAGTGTCCTCTCATTAAGTGGGGAAAAAAGGCAGAACATTCATTTCAGCCACTGAGGTTTAAGAGCAGCAGGGGAATAGTGAGTGCAGTCTATATCCGTCTTTCCACTTTTCTGCTCTACCAAGATATCGTTGTATGGGGTAAGTGGCAGAGCAATTCACACCATCACTTTCAGAAAGTTGGACTGGTCGTTCAAGGATTACAAAGCAAACCAGACAATAGTTCAATTCAGGTTACGCAAGCTTATGGCATCCGCAGGATCGCATACTGTAATGAATCACAAAATGAATCATGAGTCAGAGGATTTTATTAATCAGAAATGAACACAATTCCTTTGTATGCTTCAGCCATCACTCCACTCATTTGCGTGTTTGTCTAATATGGCCGTAAGCCTGTAATGGAATAGATGGTTATGATCTGAGCAAATAAAATTAAAAAATGGGTCTTTTACTGCTGTCATATGTAAAGTATTGTGTGGTTTGCTTAGATTTAAATCAGCCAGAGCTGTGGCTGGACCGTGAGGAAGATTTGAGAGAGCCAGCCGATGCTTGGCATGTCATATGTGCCAGAGATAACGACAGCCAAGAGGAAGCCTTTGATCCATTGCAGAGGCTGTTGCTCTTTCTAATGATACCTGGCAAATCCTCGACGAAGGTGAGAGCCAACGCGCCTCCTGGTTAACAGTCCCTGCAGAACCCAGTCGATTCTCACTCTGCTGGTTTCAGTTTCCCCAAACAAGAGTTGCAGTGTTTACTTCAGGCAAAGCAGCAACTCTGCAGACTCCATTTATTGGTCACAGGTGGATTACAGAATAAACACCATCCACATGGATGGTAGCAATTCCAAACTGCTACAATTCACAGGTGTGGGACTTGTACTGACAGCAGGGCCTTCAGACTAACAATAATATGCCATTTCTCTCAGTTTCCTGTTCTTTACTCAAACCTGAGGTATTTCCAATCAGGGTCAAATTCTGTGTAAACAGGGCAGGTCTGGAGTGACATGTCAAGCCAGTGTCTCTCTAATTGAGTCTGGGAGAAAGGAAATGGTCATTTGTACCAGTAATGATCATTTGCATTTATATTACAAAACCGCTTCTTGAAGTGGTGCTTTGCAATGATTATGCTTACTCCTACCATCGCAGATTCAGTGCATCTGATGACTCACAGAAGCCCTCGAATGATTGTGAGCAGTGACACTTCAATCCAGCAACGAACAAATCAGTAATGGTTATCATGACAGTTTTATTATCAGCATGGCTTATCTGTCGCCCTCTAAAACTGTTTAGTTGTCAGGAAATTAATGACGCTATTAGTAAAAAAAAAATCAAGCACAACTACTGTTAAACCAGGTGCTTCTTACTCAACATGTATGACTGGGAGTTACAGAGCTTTGAATAATTAGATGCTTACATGCATTAGGATATTGTAAAACATTTAAACAATAGTTGCAGCTCAGTGGCTTTCTTAATAGCCTCAGAGGGAGGCCAGTTGTACTGGCCGATAAGTCTTGCTTCTTTCTCCTGCTTGGCTGGCAGCAGTATAATGTGATTATTTACTATCTTCATTTAGCAGTGTGGCGAGAAAGCCAATGGGCATTAGTGGACAGAGGTTATTAATGCCGACTCATAGATTAACACACCACCCATAGAAGGAAATGCCTGTTTTAGTGATTGGAATGATGCCAGGCTCATTAAAAAGCCATTCAAACTCACAGCATATTCACTGTGTACACAATTTCCCAATGACAAACACAATTGCATGGTGGCATGGCATATCCTGTTGGTTTAGTTGGACGGTTATGATATAATATATCTTACTGAAGTCAAGGCTATTAAACAGCCACTTCACTTCAGCAGGCTTGTGAACATTGCTATACATGCATTGTGTTACCATACATCACCATTTCCCCACAGTGTGTCACATACAATTTCACAGTGACATGCCATAATCTATCGAATAAAGTAAATATGTTTAATTAAGCTCTAATGTGCTGTTGTTAAAGGGCCCATTTCAAAATAGATCAGAGGACATTGCAAAACATTTATTATGAAACCTACAGTATAATCAAATTAAAAAAGATACTGGTTAAAACTTTTTAGACTTACTCTGCAGTTTCCCAGCTCCTCAGCGGACAAGATGATGGTCCCACATTTCTTCCCAGGTATGCCACTGTGAAAACAAACACATTTTATTCACTCTTACAACAACAATTGTTCAAGCAACCATCCATTCAATAAATGTGAAGGTTTGTGGATTAAGGCAACATTATGTAGTAATTTTATCTTAAGATAATAGCTTCTAAATCATGATTTTGATGTTAACACTGACTTGTAATAAGGTGAATGGCGTCATGGCTACAAAGAGACAGACCGGGTAAGAGCGGGCAAGAGTTGATATCGGACTGGCTTTTACTCAGTGGCTTAAGCTAAAAGTCCTGAAAGTTTGCAGGACAGATGCCGAGCTGGCCTTCTTGCTCTTGGACTAGTAAGTAATAACTTATTAGCTGGCTTGCTATGTCTTGTGTTGTTGCACTTGCTTAATGTTTGGCTCTGTTAGCAAAGTTTTTGACATGCAAATCATAACAAATGCATTTACAACAGCAGTGGTTTACACTCTAGGGAAACTGTAGGGGCAAAAAAACACCAAATCTTACATAATATTGCTTTAAATGGCATTGAGAAACACTATTAAATTCATGCAATGTAGCCCACAAACTGCATATACCTCTTATCTAAATTTCTGAACCAATGTTGGTGAGTCTAGTTATCTTGGGGTTATCGTGGGGTTCGTATTACAGAAACTTCCTAATCGGAAGATCCTATCCTAACTGCTTGGTAACCACGCAATAAGGCCATTACAGATTAACAGTGCCGTAAATCTTAAATAAACTCTAATAACTTTAGGATAACTGTTAAGCTGTCCTAACTTTATTTGTCCACCAGGTAGTGTTTGCTAACTCGTTTAAGCTGCTCTTTTATTGCTTTTACAAAATCAAAAAAATGTCAACAGGTGGGAACTTATTGATTCTACCGATGTGTTTGATGACAATAGAAAGGCTGTAGGCGATGTAACGCTAGATAATGTCTCATAACATAATCTGAAGGCTTGATGTAACAAAAGTATCCTAATGCAAGATTTTGATAGAAGGAGATCGTTAAAGTCAAATAAAATACATAAAAAAAATGATGACATTAGCCAGCAGCCTATTATTTTTACCTTCATTATTAACTTTCCCGAGAAGAGTACGGGTTTCTGCCAGGATCAGTGAGGGAGCACAGGAGGAGCCCGCACTGGTTTTCCTCTGCTCTCTGGATACAACAGCTGCCTTTCTCTTTGTATCACTTGTAAATGGACTTATTGACTGGGTCCGCTATTTTAGCCCACTCACTCTCTGTAATCGCCAGAGTTAAGCATTACTTGAATTTGGATTACTCGAAGGAGGTTACCAACACCTCTAAGTCATCTGATTTTAAGTTCAATGATAGTTTGATTCATTAACAAAACTACCGCAAAACGATTAAAAGCCTTTAGCTCGCGTGATGAGAAAAGTGGCATTGGTCGCTAGGTATACATAAAAGTTGATAACCGATGTTGGATTGAGTATTTAGGATTTCCTAACCTGAGATAAGACAGGATGAAGTAAGATAAGATAGGATTCCTAAAGTTAGTTAGGATTTGCTTCTGTAATACCAAATTGGGAAAAATCTAATCTTAGACTCTTCCTATCTTAACTTAAGACTTAAGATAGGAACTTTCTGTAATACGGCCTTCATTTAAATCAACCGGAGCTGCAGCTGAACTGTTCTGAATCTGAGCGAGACTCCACAGTGTTCTCACCTCCTGTATGCCATTTCCACAAGAGAGCATACCGGACACTTAAATAATAATAATTAGAACGATTAACATTCATAAGACTTTTTCTGCTTTCACACTTTACATTTCAGGCTGATAATGTGGGGTTTTTTTACATAGAAATTACAGCTTTAATACAATAATCCATTACAGAAGGGCAAAGTGGCATTAGAGTGACAGTCTGACAACTCTAATGAGCACAAAATTTAGTTTCACCGCTGTAGACTGAATCAAAATAAGTTATAAATACTGACTCTTGAGGGTTTTAGTACAATGTGGAATAAAACAGCTGAAACAGAAAACTCATCTGATCCCTGTTTGCCAGCACCACATTGAGACTTTAAAGCTCTGAAAGTCTGCACTTGTTTACTGCTGATTCCCGCTTCAGCAGATGATCAAGACGTATCATAGCACACAAGAGGTTCCCTGCGTGTCTGTGTTTCAATGCATCACCTCTTCAGAAGCTTGCCAATCCGGCGCAAAACAAAAACACAGACAACTTTGCTCCAGAGTTTGTCCTAAATGTTATTTGGCTGTATTTTCTGAAGCGGAACAAAATGAGATTTATTTCGATATCCAGTCTCGCCCACTATGCATCCACTGAAGCTGTGAGGAGAAGGCAGAGAGCCCATTCCATCCGACCCAGAGCAAGACAGAATATCTACTTTCCAATCATGCAGCAACACATAAGCTGCTGACACTCCTGTCATCTTTTTGGATAAAGAAGGAAATTACACAGGAGTCCTGCTGTGGCCTTAGCAGGATGCCAATCATTAGAAGGTCAGTCTTGCTGCAGATCCTCATCAAGCTGTGACAGTTGATCTGACTGGCAGTTACGCTGGATTCCATACTGCTAAATGGTAGGCAGTCTCTGACAACGGCAGAAGACAAAAATGATCTAAAGCACAAACCTACAATGGCTGAACATACAGCAATTGGTTGACAGTAATGACCAATAATCCCTTTAAACTGACAAAATGAGATCCAGTGATTGGTAAAATATCAGCTCCAGACAAGTTAAGATGCACCACCCTGCTCAAATCTCTGCTGCTGAGACGAGAGCCGGTACCAAAAGGGCAATGGGCTTTTAAATTAGGCATGCATTATTGAGTGCAGCATTTTCTCTGGCAAAGACTAGTTAACTTGAAGAGCAACCAAGCACTGAATGGATAAATACAGTTCCTGTCTGAGGCACATGAGTTCCTTTTTATTGCCCAGATTGACATATTTTCTGCTGGTTCTAACAGCTTCTGTAGTGAAATGTGACTGCTGCTGATATGAAGTGTCCTGCATCAAGAGGCCTCAGCACTCATTCGCTGAGGGTTTCTTAGTGGGAAAACGCTTTGATGATGAAATTATGTGAAATGCGCTGCTGTGGTCCTCTTTGCTGCACTATCTGCTGTGAACAAGGCCTACAGTGTAACTGCTCTAAGGAACGGACAGGCTTTAATCAGTTGGTCATGTAAAATGTGTCATATTTATTTCCACTGATTCTGCTGCTACTCAAGCATTTGAATATTCACATAACAGTCAAACACCATAAGGGTATTTTGTTATGTTTAGCAAACAGGCAATCCCCAGCTAACCATCTCATGTCAACAAAACGATGTGACAGCATCGATGTATCAGGTTACATCATGAAAGACATGTATACAATATGTTTTTAGTCTTTTTTTCTGTATTTTGCCACAACTTTGTCACATAAAGCCAATTTATTCTTCTGCGTCAAGTCTACAACATCGTGAGCATTTACACTTGTGCATTGGTGTCTGCGTCTCTGCAATTACACCGACAAAACGCTAGTTAGAGGTGTGCTTTCTATGTTCCACTGTCAGCTGAGCCAGCTAACCCCCCCCCCCCCCAATGAAAATAATATTCATGGGCTCTAGACTTTCCAAATGTTATTGGACCAAATGGATCAAGTACTGACGGCGAAAAATTTTCGCAGAGGTTGTGACAAAAAAAAATGTACCACTGTTTTATAGCCGCTGGTTGGCCACTAGTGAAATTGGCTTTAAAGCACGGAGCACTTCCTGGGGGCTTGGAGGAAATGTGATGCTACCAAACCGACCAATCAAATTTCTTACAGCCTATAGACATTTGTGGAGAGGTGTGGCAGAAATTCGACACAGAAGTACAAATTGGCCTTAAGGCCCAATCTCAATATACAGATATATATGTGTACATCTGTAGCTAAGGGACAAAAAAGTAGTATTGACCAATCATGTTGAGCTTTAGTTGCATGCAGGTAAACAATCTGTATGGAGTCAGAACACCATGGCCGAAATGCAATCTCTGCATCTCTCTTTAGCTTTTAATCAATCTTTTTAAAGATGTATCTGCATTCAAATCGTCTTCAGACAATAGCCAAATAGTTCTGAGAATGCTATTTGGACTGTAAACAATGACTGACGCATGGAAGTGGAACCTTGTCCCAAATATCTGCTGGCCACACTAGAAGATAAGTACATTAGTTACGTCAGTTGACTTAAGTTGAATACATTATGTTGATTTTCTCTCTAACATTCATTTATTAAATAACACACTGTCTGCACAAAATAAGTCAGTAGAGACTAAATGGCATGAAATGACACTTAAATAGCAAAACAGGCATTGTGATTACATGCAAAATGACTTAAGACATGACGGTGTGTTATTCATATGGTGTTTGATGATACCAGGCCTGGCGGAGATATGTACTCTTGTGCACTCTTCTAGTTAATTATAAGTTGGTGAAAGTTTAACTGAGGTTCACATCAACAGATGTAATTTTAATAGTTACTGCAAAGTTGTGTTTGAAACACAGAAGCAAAAACAGAATGGAACATGTGTTAATATCAGCTGACAATTGGTGCTTAACACCACTGAAGAACAGTGTAGACTCAAGCCGTGCGACTGCTTGAGTCTACATTACTGTTCACTCTGCCCTCAGAGGCTATTACAGAAGTTCCAAGTACACCTTGACCTTAGCTCTACTCCTACAGTCAGGCAAAAAGTTCCACTTTAACACAATGAGTATAAGTCCAATAGGCATACCGCAATTTACTAAGCAAATTAATTTAGCCCAGAGGAGGATCCCTTTCCATTTTGGATACAACTTGAACTTTCTTCAATAATGTCAACACTGGCAGCTTGCCATGCTCCTTAGCCACACTACTGGGAAGGCAGTAAGAATAGCAAAAGCATTGGTATATTGTACATTTCAACACTTTCATTCTGTGCCACAGGGTCTCAAATTATGTCAAACAACAAAGGACTGAAACATGGATTAGATTTGTATGCAATGTATGTATGTAAGGTCAAGTTCAACCTCTGCA